CACCAGAAGAAAAAAAAACATTTTCCTAGAGTGTAATACATATAATTTTACCTACTACTCAGCAAGAAAAACTTCAAAACTAACAATTTTTCTTAATACTTCAGTATCGCCATTAAATCTAGTAGCATGTAGAAAGGGAATATGGGAAAGGTTTTTGGTTTAAACTATTTATTTTCTGAAAACATTAATTGATGAATGATAAAATATTTTAAAAATGTAACGTTTTCTCAAAAATTGAATTTTTAGATTTTTTTTTCGTTTGTAAGTTCTATACGATTTTTATTTTTTTTTAAGTAGCAATCCACTATAAAACTTTTTTGAAAAAACTGTCTACATTTTAAGTTGCTACTTCGACAAAAAAAAATATAACTGAAAAACAAAACAAAATTTTATTATCAAAACACTATGACAAGTTTTGTAGCACTTTAGTTCTTATTAGTTATTAAGACAAATTATTTAAAAAAAACACGCTTGATTTCATACTTTTTAAAATTTAGAATTACTAGAAGCTTCTCTTTTTTGTTTGAATAGAAGCATCTTAGAAAAGTTCTGCAAAATTTTTAATTTTTTTAAGCAGCAACCCACTATAAAACTTTTTTTGAAAAAACATTTTAAGGTGCTACTTCGACAAAAAAAATATATAACTCAAAAACAAAACAAAATTTTATTATCAAAAAACGATTACAAGTTTCGTAGGACTTGAGTTATTAATTATTATTTTTTGAAGACAAATTATTATTAAAATAAAAAACGCCTGGTTTCATACTTTCTATTCACCTTCTATAATTTTGATAGATAAAAAAAATTAAATTTTTACCTCTCTGAGGGCTAATTGCCACTTTCCTTTCTAAAATTATAGTGAATAAACTTACTTTCCGTTAGGGTTTTAAAAGTTTAAGTTATCTTAGTTTATTACGAGAATTATAGAGTAAAGTTTTGAATTTATTAAGTAAAAAATGGTTGATGTTAAAGTACAATTGATTAAACAAAAGTAAAAAATACAAAATACATGTAGCTAAACAATTTATAAATAGCACAAAATGGAATAAAACTTGACGCATTTGGTAGAACAGCAAAAGAACTATTTCGGAGATATTTGACGGGTTAGAGAAAGAACAGAAACCCCCGCTGGGAGGCGCTGAAATTTGAGAAGGAAATAAACTGTCTCTGTCTCTGAAGTCGCTGAAAGTGGCCAAAAATGATAAACTGCAATTTTTATTTTTGGCTTAATTTCTTCAATAAATCCCCAACGCACGTGCATTTTTCCCCTCAAAAAATTCGAATAAAATATGGCTTCTATCAAGTCGATAACAAAACCAAGGAGATATAAACAAGAAAAGCGTTTTAAAAATAGAATCCGACATCGACAGAAAGGAAATTTGTGCTTTCTACATCCAGTTGACTGCATTGTGAGTGAAATAAAACCACTGAATTGATAAAAAACTGCATGTTTGCGGTGTTAAGCGGTGCAGAAGACTTGGAAATATCGAGCAATGTTTCAGCGGTCATCAATCTCTGAAAATAGCTCGCTTTCTAATTAGAAAAAGTCCCAATAAAATATTGTGCGAAATTTCCAGTATTGCCAATTCGACGTTGTGGTCTTTCCTTTCAGCTGCACCCCAGAAATCAAATCGATTGGAAAAGGATCCAGTAAGTCGCTTATCGGAACTCATTTTTTCCACTCTGTTGTGTCAATGTGTGGAACATTTCTTAATTAGTTTTCAGCATAAAAGCGGACCGAAATTTAATTTGGATTCGGGAACGGTCGAGCCGAATTGTTTTACTCCCTCAAACAGCTTTGAAATTTGCTTTTTTGATTACGCGCAAATAAGGGCAAAGGGGACGGCTTAACACGCGTTTAATGCGAGGATTAGGCTTTCAGTTCTGCGGTCTTCTAACGAACAGGACGCGGGATTTTAAAACTAGCCGTTTGAGGCAACTTTAGCTGAATATGCGTTTTGAGCAGTCAGTTTCAGGACATCTAATAATCTTTTTTGGAATGTCGGCAGTAGTCTTTGCATTTGTTTAATTAATTTTTTTTATCTACATAATATTATTTTTATAGTTTAAAAAAAAAGCAATTTTTTAACGTGTTGTTTGTTACAAAGTAATTTGTTTTGCTTTGATCGTTTTTTTTTGTTTGTTGTCTGTTATGTAAGATTAACTCTTTCAAACATTTAATTTTGTTAATTGAAAATTTTGTTGTTCAAATATTTTTGAAACTCTGAAACCTCGTTGTGTAAAGTTCAGGTTTTAAATTTTTTCAGCTTAGAAAAGAAAGTTTTTTTGGTTTTAAAATAGATTTTTTTACTAGTTCATTTTAATTTTTCTCAAATTTGCACTAAATTATTTTATTAATAAAAAATGCAAGTGGAGCTGTAATGGTGCTCTATATAGAATCGATCAATATTTATTTAAAGCTAAATGATTAGAGATTTCGGCAAGAAATAAGCTTCTATTAAAAAATTTGAAACGCTAAAATGCGTATCTTCACCACTCCAGCCGGAACCAAAATAAATCAATGACCATTTTTTTCATACAAAAAATATTACTTTTGAGGTTTTTAAAAAAAAAATGGAAATTTTTTACTTGTTGCAGAAGTTTTTTCTTCTGCTTTTGATCATTTTCCTCTTTTTGTTTTTTTATTATTGCTTCTTCTCTAAACGTAAACGTAACTCTTTAAAAGTTTTTTTTTGAAATCCTGGATTCTCATTGTTAATAAGACAGGTTTCAAAGTTTTTTCATCAAATATTTTACGATTAGTTTTACAATACCCTAATTTTTTTTAATAGTACATTTTCTTNTACATTTTCTTAAATTTATAATAGACAAGTTGTTTTATTAATAAAAAAATTAGAGGCGTAATTTCTGAATATAATATAATTTACTTATGTTTATTTTAAAGTTGGTTTTTGTTCATTGAAATTTTTAATAGATCTTCTTTCTATTTTTTTAATCTTTCCAATTTTTTGATAATTGTTTCAACTTTAGAGCAAATCGCTGTATTTCATTAATTAATATTAATACATCATGATTCAACAAGAATAAATAACATGACCAACTATATTAAGTGAGTCATCCGATGAAAAGTAATTTTTTTATTGTTACTGAAATTCGATTCGCTTTAATTGCTAGAATTTAATTAATTAAAATCACACAGAGAGTGATTGAAGAATAATACTAAAATCTATAGCAATTTGATTTTTAAAGAAAATGGTAAAACTCAAGACATCTCAACTAATTCACGCTATACATACATTATAATTTGTTTTAAGTACTAAAAACTTCTCAGAGTTGATCAAAATTGTTTTATTTTACAAAAAGTATAAACTGAGTTACTTATGTTAAAAAATATAAAAACAATTATTAAAGATTTTTTTTCAATTTATAATATATTCCAATTTTTTTGTTAAAATAACATAGACACTGCAAAAAAAATAGAAAAAAATTTTAAAATTAGCCCTACTATCAATAGAATTTAAATATGAAATGAACCTATTTTTTTGTTTTGACAGCTTTGACAAAAACAGAAAAATTTGAAGAGGTGTTATTCTGATGTTTTCAAATGAGGAAGTTGAAGGCCCAATTTATACAGGGTGCGCCAGAATTTGCGCACAGAATACAGAAAAAATGTTAAAAAATTTCTATAAAAATTTCGAAGTTTTGAGACACTATTTATTTCTGTTGGAAAAATAATTTTCCAAGTTTTTTTTCTACAGGTTATTAAAAGAGAAAACAAGGAAGTTGTATATTAAATTATAACTCTGTTTAATGTTATTTGTGGCTTTTATTGATACCTTTACTAAATAATTATAAACAACATATACAACATCATCAGTATCATTAAATAAACATAAAAAAATGTCATATGACAAAAAAATGTCAAATCTTTTTTCATGTTTCTGGTATTTTATCTTGAAATTTTTCTCTAGAGCGCGAGTTGTGACACACCCTGTAGAAAACAAATTAAAAATTAATCGTTCTTAAAAGTTAATACACAATTAACCCATGAATCTGAATATCTGGTTGGTTCAATTTGGTCATGTGATCAGTTAATCTCACATTTGAATGCAATTAAGGTAATGGTCTTTCTATAAACCGACCCTAAGTCTTTTTTAACTCTGTTTGATTTTGTATTAATTTCATCATGTGATGATAATAATGTTCTAAATTTTCAGCTTTTGATTTGAGCTAAATTATCAGTTTTCCCGAATCACTCTGTATGATATTTACTAAACATAATTGTTCATCAATGTTAATTTAAAGCTGAATGATTGAAGATTTCGGCAAGAAATCAGCCCCCATTAGAGAAGTTTGAAACGCCAAAGCGAGTTTCCACACCACCCCAACCCGAGCCAAAACAAAGCCCTCTATTGTTCCACCCCTTACACAATCGTCCGATTGGCCTTATCCCAGCGTCATGTTATTGTTATTGGAAGAGGGTGGATTTTTGAAGACTGATGTATCAGACAAGAGATTAAAGGAAAGAGAGGGTTTGCTATCTAATCAAAGATTATTCTGAAAGCAAACAGTCCCGAGAATAATAAAGCTTCAACACCCCCTGTTTCTGTAAATATTTTATTATGCTGATAAAGGATGTCACTGGTAGTTAACGCACTTCTGTAATTAACAAAACGACCAGTGGTGTGCTATTTTTGGCTTTGCGAGATGAGAACTCAAAGTTAATTCAATCAAACGGACAGACTGACCTTCGTCAACACTGTCAACACTAAAATGATTATGAGATGAGGGAAAAAGATTGATATTAAACCAACTCAAGTCAACACCAAAAATAACAATTAGTTTTCAATCAGGATGCAATATTTTCAATAACTTTCAATATTTTTATTCGACATTTACGATGTGTTTATTGGCAGATGACCAATTCCGCATGTTTATGGTCATCCAAACAAATTATTTTCAGTGGTGAACGAAAAGAGATAAATTTGTTATTGGCGATTATTTGCACAAGAACAATAAAAAAGAACAAAACCACTCACCGTTCTGTTCCCTAAGTTTCTAATTCGGCAGTTGAGATAAGTGGTTTTGCCCACGAGAGCCGTGACATTTTTTGAGGCGGTCTTGTCAAAGTAGGGGCCTCTGTCGATAATTAAAGGCTCAATTTCGGCTTCAGTTTCAGGCGAATCCGAGTCATCCTTCGTTTTGGGACGACTCCAACCTGAAACGAGAAAAAGGAAATTGACACGAAGTGTTTGCAATATTTGCAAGAATGGGATTTCTTCCAAAAATGAAAACTTGAATTTCGTTTGTCAGCAAATATAAAGTAACCTATTTTCCTTCCCGTATTTCACAAGTTTGTTTATTTTACACCTGTCGGAATATTTCTACATTAAGTATTTTGTCAGTTGGAAGCGCAGACGAGGCTACAATCCGACTTTTTCAACTTTTTACAAACGTAATGTTTTCTAATTTACATACATCTGAGAATACTACAACTAAATGCTACAATAAATTTTCGTAAACAAAGGAAAATTTGTGAATGCAATAGCACATTATCCAAATGGAAAACTATTTGTAATCATAAATTGAAATTAGTGATAAGATCATCAGTTACTTTTAACAAAATTATATTTTAATGATGTTAACAATTACAACACATGCTGAAAACGAATTATTTATTGTTCTGTCAGAGTGATATAAAGCACATTATTATTGAGAGTTATTAAATTGTCATATTAAAGGAAAATCGATTACTAAACCAAAGCCAAAAGTAGTGATTTAAATTTCATAAAAAAAAATTGTTTCATCTCATTACTTTATTTTTACTTTAACACC